TTAATGAAAACACAGCAATTCTTATCTTCAGGTGATTATACACTAAAGAAAACATACTTATTATATTGTATTCCATTTCTGCCAGTCTATCCCCCTAAATCCTTGAACCAAAGCACATTTAAAACATTCGACCATTAGCTAACACAAAAGAACATGATGTGTCTCCTTTCTGCTATTGTTATAAATATGTTCTTTCTCATTTCAAATGATTTCACAAAACTTTGCTAGGCTGACCTCAGAATGTCAGCCACTCATGAATAAGTTGCATAACATTAGTGTTGGTGTGCCAGTGGAATCTGAGCTTCTGCAGATGACTGAATCCATTGAGTGAGCGCTCTTTATTCAGTCTACCCATGTTTTTGCCTGGGTATTAGCTTGCTTTGGTCAGAGGCCGGCCCATTGTCTGCTAGCTCTGCCCATCCTTGCATGATATGAATGAAGATTAGCATGGATTGTTTGAATAAACCACCCAGGGTCTGGTGTTAATGCGTCGCAGCAGGAAATTATGTGAATGTCACTGCATGTATAAGTGAAATAAATGAGAAACACAATGTGCCTGGAAGAGCTGGACTGTATACGGCTGCAACCAATCAAAAAGACGATGACTTAAGTAAAATGGCTTTGTTCATTTGAGCATGGTAAAATCAATATGTCCACATCCTATGTTAGAGCATGGGTAGTTGATCTAGGCCAGAGTTTAGCTTTCTTTTTTTGCTCTCTCCCTATTCTTGTTTGTGTGATACATCAGGAGTGATTCATGTGGGCTGTGCAACGAACAATGCCATTCTAATTTGTCATTTCTGCATGCTTGGCACCAGCGCTCGTGGTGGAGCTCTGGCAAGGTCATCGGATGCACCTGACCCGCTGTAAGGCAGAACAATGAGGGTCAAAAACGTAATGCATATGACACGGATTGAAATGGACTGCAGTGTTGTTTTATCCTCCAAACACCTCTGTGCACAACTGATTGCTGAAAATACCGCACATACCCACAGCTCCTCCTCCTTTCTCTTAATGGTGTTATTAAACCGTCTTCATCCTCACAGTGAATTGATAGCAGACGGCACCAAGGTGTTAAAAGGATGTCACATGACCAAATGTTACAGCCTTAATCGACTGAGGGGGTGTCTGTGAACAAGTGCCTCGGCCCATCCCCTCCCTGTACCCTTGACTCTAATTAAGACCACATATCTTAGATTTTTGCTGAGGTCAGGGAGGGATTTTAATTTAAAAACCATTAAGACGTGCACACAGTCAGGACTTGTGTTGCATCCTAGGCAGATATAATTTTAATTAAGTCTTATCTTTGCCCAATTTCTCCGGCACAAGACATCATCATAATTCCTCAATAACAACCTTCGAATAAACTGAACAACTGTTTGGTAAATGCGATGAACTGCTCATATACACCAAGTATTGACTGACCTGTGTACCTCAGGATTTTACCTAACATAATACCTAATCACGTATGTTAGTTTGTACATTTCATTCTAGAAATTAAATCAGGGTAATTTACATGGTATTTATCTGCTGCCTGAAAATGGTGGGAACAGAAGAAAGAGGATACACACAGAACAGTGCAGACAGTATATTTTATTGTTAATGACACCCGAAAGTCCACTACCATTGTACTGATGTTTTTGTGTTCTACTGTTGGTAAAGTGGGCAATAAAACCTTGAGAACGCCTCACACCTGCTAAAAGGTATAATTGTCTTTTTGGCACTGTATTGTTCAGAGCACTTAGTGGGTTTATTAAAGACAAAGCCTTTTATTATGAAGTCAATCGTATGTGAGACAAGATTGATGAAGTGACAACAGAACACAGACTTTAGCCTACAAACACAAGCCATCACTGCTTTCACACTTGTACAAACATTTGGTACCAGACAAGAACAATGCCATGTGTCACTTGTATCTTTCACAGTGACGCCATCCAAAGCCTTCAGTGCATTGCCATTTGTTGCTTCCCATCCAATATCTTAACAGCACGCCAAATTGATGTTAAGGTAAAGAAATTATCTTGTTCAGTCTTCTCATGAGACTACAAAGCTGTCATAGTAATCCTGAGTGCTGCTGTTAGATGCACAACAAAGTGCCACTCGCATCCCTAGTGGCCAGCTTCGTCGCCGTGCATACAGATATGGACAGGCAGAAACAACCCAGGAGCACATTAGTAAACAAAGTCAGTGTGGTTTGGTGAAGTTCAGGCTCTCTTTTCCCAAAGGATACTTTCCTCCTCACCCTAACCATCAAATAAGCGTCTTAACTAAATAATCTATCATCCACCTATTAAGTTTGTATAAATGACCCCTTACAAAAACAAGGCCTGAGGATTCCTCGAAAATGTTAAAATGTTAGAACTGTCACAGCTATTTAATTTTTTTTACCATAGCTGAGCACAATGAGAGATTGAACCAAAATGACTTTTCTGATCAAAGGTTTCCAGCTTCTGCCTACAAGGTGGTTATCTACTGTTACTTTTAATTAAAGACATCAATACAGATCTTTCGAGGCAGAGGTCAATGGGACAACATTTTATTTAAATGAACTCCTTAATGTAATTTCGAGGGTTCTTAACTTGAAAAAAAAGCCACTGTAGAAGAATTTTCTAAATGAATGAATTTCATTTTAAACTACAACATGATACATATTCAAGGAAACACACACAGCAGATGGACATACTGATCTGTAGGCTGAATCTCTGCCTATGATCCACTGCATAAAATGTGTTAGGTTTGGCTGTCCATCACATACAGTACAAGGTGGTCATGTGATTCATGACTTTTTGGGCAATGCATAGGGGATGGTGATGTAAAGGGTGACAGCATAGAGTTGTACCCCAGCCCAGTAACCAGACGAAAATGTTGGCATTTTTAATTTCTGCAAACCACCAACATGTTACATTTACACGTATCATATCTATGTTTAAAGAGTGACATAGTATATGAGCTGACTTCATCTGGGGGTGGAGAAGATGGTGAATGGTGTATCACCTTGGTGAGAGACTACTGCAGACATCTGTTCAAGACCAACAAACAACAAAACTGGTTGTGTTTTAGTGAGTCGTTGGTGTGCTTTCAGTGCTTTTTCCAGTGTGTTTTGGGCTCCAAACCTGGGTGTTTTGGAACAACCCATCGGCCTGTGTCCATGGGCTTTTTAGGGTCCAAATGTGGGGGTGACTGGTTGATGTGTATTCACTGACTTTTTAAGCTCTAAACGTGGTTGTTTTGTAGTGACCTGTCAGTGTGTTTCTATTGGCTTTTAGGCTTTTGTAGCAATCAGCCTGTGTGTTTCAGTTTTGCTTGCTACTCACATGGCCAGGTGAGCTGCTAACTCCCTGTTCCTTCTTAAAAGTGTGAAATATCTACACTTTTCCTGTGCTGCAATACAACCTGGTCCTGTGTTTGCTGTGCTGTATCTTGATCATACACAAATGATTTTAAGAATATGCAACATGTAAGCACAAAACTCAAATAATGAGTATATATACTCATATTTTGCATAATTCATAAACAAACAAGCTTCATGGGGCCCCAGGGCAGTTGCAAGCTTTTCCTTGTTGGTGGTAACCTTTTTTTTTTTTTTTTTTTAATAATTTATTGCAGGAGTGCAGCAGCTAACATAAATATACACCTGAAGGATGCACATAAGGCCACAGACCTCCACTGATATTTCTAAAAAAAATATTTTTAAGTTTTAGCAAGAGGTGTATTTTCTAGAATGAGTCATTTGACAAGAAGAATTCTTAAGGAGGATGATGAATATTTTCCCTGCAATTCAACCCAGTATAAGGGGTCCTTGACCAGCTTCATTTCATGATAGCTAAATAAATACACCCCAGACTCCCATTTGAAGAGATTTTGTTGTTTTAAGTGCTACAACACTTACTTAGATAAGAGTGGTGAGTGTGAAACCTATTATTAGTCTCCCCGATTCATCCTCTGATTGGAATTGTTTTGAGTCCTAATTTTGTTATGGAACCTTTAGGCCTCCAGGTGCTCCAGCTGGTCACCAAGGGCCACAGCACTGCAAGTGATCCCAATTATTGTGAGAGTGAATATTCTCCTCCATCTCCGTGTATGCTGTGATGACTAAATCAACAGCTTTGATCCTCTCACATGCATGAGTGATGATGAAATCATATCAAATGTGTTGCATGAATTAATATTTGTCATGCGGCTAAGTGAGTGTCTCCTGTAGACCCCCTTAAGGGCCCACTGGAGGTCCCAGGACCCCAGTTTGTGAGGGACGTTATCTAACCGATATGAGAAAGCTGCAGGCTACAGACCATATGGTCCTCATGGTACAGGCAAGTGATGCTACCTGGCGATTAGAAGGGGGGAGAGAGAGAGGGGAAGAGAGAGACACACACAGGGAGAGACAGAGAGAGAAGGAGAGAGACAGAGAGAGAGGGAGAGAGAACTACTTCAGGAGCTGTAGCCTACTTAACGCAAAGAAAAAGATACTGAAGCGAATTGAGCCTTTTGCTTTGAGTGTACACAGCTTTCCACAGTCTCACCGAGACGACAAAAAGAAAAGGGAACACCGAGGGAGAGAAAAACATACAAGACTTGGCTGATGCATCTCTCCGAGAGCATCAATTTCACGGCGATTACAGTTTGAAGCGGAGGAGACGGTGCGCATTTCTCTGAAAAACACGGCGCTTTTCTCTCCTCAGAAGTCAGTTTCCTAGAGCGGCTCGCGGGCGGAGAGACACTTTTTTCTTTCTCTCCTGCGTTTATCGACACGCACAGTTATTTCATAACAAGCCTGTTTACTTGGAGCAAAACCAGGTCGTCCACAGTTCCAGCAAGGCGACACAGCATCTTGATTGTGGAGTGGAATTTGCGATCGAGACGCAAACGGAATATCCGACGGTTTCAAGTTTTCCTGGAAGTTGCGCAGTGACAGAAAATCATGGGAATTTGTGGCTATTTGGCGGTGCCTGGGAAATGCCTTGTCGTCCTCGGACTTAAATTGTTATTCCTTGTACCTGCAGGAGTTCCAGCCAGAAGCGGGGATTCTGTATTAAAGGACAACATCACCGTCAGACAGGGGGACAGCGCCGTCTTAAAGTAAGTCTTTAACTGTATTTCATTATCACACCACTAATATCATCCTCTCTTGTGCGCGACGCGGACTGACTTGTGTTTTACAGCGTGTGTTGGGTCCAAACAGCTAATCAAGTGCAACGGTCCAGGAGTTACTAAAGGTCATCATAACCTATATAAAAACGCACAAATGCTCGCTCTTTATATGCGTTCTAACTACTGATACAACTACGGGCAGTGCATGCGTGTCATTTGTAAGTTATATAACGTGCAGAAGTCGGTGTTTCGCCTCTCCTGCTCATTGCCCTTGAATGTTATTGATCCGGTTGGTTAATGTCTTGTTGAGGATGCACAGAGCTGAGATTCTCAAATTCAGCATCGGGAGGGGTTGTGTACGTATTGATTTGAGTATGTGATACAAATGCAATTATGACTTTAATTTTCAAGGCTGTTTTGTTTTCGTTACACTTCATAAAATGTTTTGGAAGACTGGATAGAGTCCACAAATCCTGTTGTTCCTTAATCACATAGAACTGGAGATTAAAAATATCTTTAAATTTGCAGTTTAATCGTGATATTCCTGTGCTGGGTTTGACTGCGTGTCTTTATGACGTGATAGTCTTTTCGTATCTTCTCTCCCTTCACTGTCATATTCCAGTTTGTTAATGCCTATAAACTGTATTGTGGGTTTGCTGTAGTTCTTTGTGTAAGAATAGACCAGGTGTGGTGCTAGAACTTCAGGATCCCTGTGAAAAGATGGGAGATAGGGCCCTGCTCCACCCACACAAACACAAACACAAACACACACACACACACACACACACACACACACACACACAGTGCAGTGTTTCCTTATAGCAAGCAGACATGAACTACCATATAACTGAACTGTGATACACTTGTTATCATAACAGTCCATCCATTAGTTTTATCTGTGTATCCTTGAGAGTTGCGGGGGCTCTGGAGCCAAATCAAGCTGACACTGGGTGAGAAGTTGGGGCACGCCCTGGACAGGTTGTCAGTCAATCACAGGGTGAACTTAATAGTCTTATTATATTGAAATGAATAAAAAAAAAATTGAATGTAACTTGTTCAGCAGCAAGGGTATGAGAATCAATAAAGACAAACAGAAATATGAATACAAGTCATACATGCAATAGCAGCCTGTTCTCATTCCGAAGTCATCAAATACCACCGCTTTGTAAGTGATTTTAGTGTTAGACACTGACGCCAAAAGCCACCTTTTGCGCAGCATCAGTTTGTAACCCGGACGAACAGAACCTTTTGCAGTGTTATGATATGCAGCCAGTCGAAGGTGCAGCATCTGTCACGGATGGGTGGCCTCAGTTCAGCATGCCACCGGACAGCAACTGTTGTGTCGGTATGATACGGGGCTGCGCGGTGTCACTTTGACATGCTGCCGGTAACAACATAATAATAATAATAATAATAATAATAATAATGATGATGATGATAATAATTAGGAGCTGGAAAGTCTCTATAGGGTGGGTGGGAGGGGCGACGGATGGGTCCAACAAACCTTGGACTTAACCTTGGAGCCTGCTGTTCGCTTCCCATATTAATGTAGAGCCAAACCATGATGTTTTTTTCTAAGCCTAACCACATGCTTTTGTTGCATCAACCTACCAACATGCTTTTGTTGACGTCCCAGTATGCTTTTGTTGCCTAAACTTAACTGTGTACGTTTGTTGACATCATGATGTTGGTTGTGGCATCCTGGAACAACAACTGCAGACGCAGGAGGATACCTAGCTCGTAATATGTAGATGTGAATGTCCACGGACAAAGCAGCGATATGTGACAACTTGGGATGAGAACGTGTTGCACATATACATACGTCCTGTACACATAGTGTTTAATTATTTTAATCATATATAAACTACCATATAACTGAACTGTAATACACTTGTTTTCATAGCAGTCCACCCTTTAGCTATATCTGCTTATCCGTGAGGGCTGCAGGTGCTCTGGAGTCAATCCAAGCTGACACTGGGTGAGAGGTGGGGTTACACCCTAGACAGCTTGGCAGGCAATCACTCTGCTGACTTAATAGTCTTTAATTATATTTAAATGAAGAACAAATTATCAGCAGCAAGGGTATGAGAACTATTAAGAAAAAGAGAAATATAAAAACAATATGTACATGCAACAAATAATAAGCATCACAGATAGAAATATAAACAATGTAAGACCCAAGTTGTATGCACAAAGGTGAAATTAAAGTAAAGCCATTTTCAACATGTGCTTAGTTTCACACATCTGTATGCTGTTAAAGACGTAAGTAACAGTTTTGATTGCTAACTTAAGTGTGATTTACAAATGTGCTAAAAAAGCAGATGTGAAATTGTATTAATATTAATATGCCTTCTTGGTAATGTAGTCACATGATCATGCCTGTAAAAAAAACCTATGTTCACCATCTCAAGCTGGCAGTGCAGGTCAGTACAGTTCAGCTGGCTCCAAGCTGGCTGAGATATGAGCTATTTAGACAAGAATAATTGTACCGTTTGATTGCTGCTGACACGGACGAGCAGCTAAACAGCTTGCTGTTGCACCTCGGGTAGATGAGGTGGAAGGTGATCATGCGCCATAGCTGCACCAGCTCACCACAGAGGGGGTGGAGAGTATTGTCCAAGATGGAGTTCAGTTCAGTCCTCATCTTCTCTCCTCTGCTCCGTGCAGCCTTTAAGAGTCTTTCTCACCAGCTCGTTAATCCTGTCTTCATTCTCAGTCATTACAAATGTGTGCTGGCCTCCACTGATTAGTACAACTTGTTAAGAGGTCTATTGGATACGTTGAAACCAACCATTTCACTCTCCACACTTTGCATGGTGACAGGCTGAAATCCACCTCTTGCTCAATTGTCACGCTGATGTTGAGCTGCGAATGGTTGCACCTGCAGTGGCTGACAGGACTCTTTTGGCAGCTGTTCTCCGTTTCTTGCCCTAACCTATGCACCCCACAATAGAGGAGTCATCAAATAAGTTGTGGAGCTGCCATGACCCTGAGTTGAATCTTAAAAGGAAAGGTGTAGAGAGTGAACTCAAAAGCTGACAATACAGCTAGCCGTTCCTGTACTGCTCCGCAGTGTATCCAATGCACTGCCCTGGAGGAAGATGAACTGCTGCCTGTCAGTGAGCTAGTCAGCCCATAATCCAGGAAACCATGCTATCCACCTGCATCGCTTTGAGCTTCTCCCCAAGCAGGAGGGGCTGGATGGTGTTGAAAGCACCAGAGAAATGAAAGGACATCATATTCATTCTGCTTCCAAGCTTCTGCGGGTGGGAATAAGGCCTGTGGAGCTGGGATATGATAGCATTGTCCACACATTTGACAGCTAACTGGTACATGCCTGGAGCACCCTGGGGCTGACGCTGTGAGGACCCTCTGCCTCGCCTGTGAGAAGCCTCTCTAACTCCCTCCTCACCCAAGTGGCAGTAAAGCTGAAGCTTGGAAGGGCAGCTGGCTGGTGAGGTTGGCACTCAGGGAGGTGGGCCAGGAGCAGGAAGCCTAGGAGAGGAAGCTGGAGAGGAGGGCGGCTGTGGCATTGACCTCTAATTTGATCGAAATAATGGGAAGAGTAGACAGGCTGAAATTGGTAGGTGCTGCGATACTGTCTGAAACAACTAATTTTCAAATAAATTACAGTGTTTGGAACCTGCATTTTGCCACACAAAAAGGGCTCTAGTGTATGCTATATTGCCATTATTGCTATTTGGAAATCAGTGTGTCACATTGCCATGTCTGTGACAATACTCTGAAGGTAAAATTACTTAATATCTGGAGCATAAAAGTTGTCAAAAAGAGAGATTTAAACAGCAGTACACAGTACTCATTGCAGTCTGGCACCATTTGCTTTTCCATCTCAGATCAGGAGTCCAAAATTGATGCTGTGAGCCAATTCACAGAGGCTCATCAAGGGTTAAATGCTTTTAGGCCAGGGAAAAAAAACAACATCAGTGTGATACTGGCAATATGTTTTAATGAAAGATTGTCGCATCTGAGTGATTTCTTGTCGCTGGCAAAATTCCTAGGGTGCTATTTTATTTCTACAGGGCTGTATTATTAAGACAGTCAAGGGCAACACAAAGCAGAATCATTCTCACATAAAGAAAGCCACTGCCAACAGGAACTTAAGCAGATGTGAACGGCAGAATAATTAGCATCATTCAACACAGCTTTAGTAACAGCATTACATTTTTTTTTTAAAGAAATAGAGATCACTAGGGAAAGTAAAATGCCAGGATGACAGGTTAGTGGAACGAGAAGTTGATGTCAGTTTTAAGCCAATATATTATGCACATGTGTACACGGACTTGTCTTTTGAGTAGAATTTTTTTAGGTACTGGTAATTTAATTCATATCCTGATTATCTGTGAATAATTGATTCTAATTGGCCGGAATGTTGCCAGTGTTTGTGTCAAGGTGGCAGATGTAATAAATTACTGATTCTAATTAGCTGAAAGTTGGGAGGTTGGGTGACAATCCTAACATACAGACCTGATGATGAAGCAATGGTGGCATATTTCATCATGGTGCATTTGGGGACAATTAAGTAGCAAGTTGAGTGGTGCTGTTGCATAATGTGAGTGAGGTAAAATCTCAGCAATATCATTTTTGTCTGAGCTGATTACTGTGGGGGACTTTAAGTCAATTATGAAGGATTAAGAAAATAGCACTCTTAGTCAAAGTGACTGCCACTCAAATTTTCACTTAAATCATTTGAGAATATTGTACATGTTAATGTGTTTAACCCTCTGAAAACTGACCACCAGTGGTCAGCTGTGGGGGGTTGTTGTTTTCATGATTCTTATTGATACTGATCTAAAATTAAGAAGAGAAAAAAAAGTAGAGCTAGAGCATTCATTCTTTTTGCAACAGAAAGCTAAGACTTACGTCTTTCCTGTCATCATGCTGTCCGCATGAAAATGTGTGGTGATGCTACAGTATTGTCCCATCATGGCCACAGAACATAATTGTTTACATGATCCTGTTTAAAATTG